GAAACACTGATGTGTTCTGCACTTCAGCCTCAGTAATTCATACACAGCACTGATTGGACCTGGGCTTGATCGCAGCGCTGTGGCTCAGATGGGCTCTGAGATTATTCTTCTTCACAATATACAGAATCACCAGACGTGTCCAAATCAACCCCGTCCTGTTCAAAATATGACTGGTAGGACTGGTCGTAGGCAGACGTGCTGTAGCCTTGTGTCCTTTACAGGCAAAGAGCAGAGACATGAGCACCTGCAGCGCTGCAACCTCCAGTTCTTGGTTTCTACATTAGAAGTTCAGCAGCCTTCACTGTGTCTTTATCAGCGTTGCTTTGAGTTGGTGCTGAATAAAGATGTATGTGTGTTCATCAGTGTGTAACCTGAGGCTGTTAACTGGCAGCTGTCAAACATCATCACATTTAAGTCTATGTTAGTGTAACAAATGACCTTTTACAGGGAGTAATTAAGTAATGTAATGGATTACTTCAAAATAATGAGTAATATTCTTTGAGTAAGAAGCCCAACACTGGTGAGAGCAGACTGGGTGGAATTACAGAGGTTTATACTGGTTTCTCAGGAGAGCCACCAGCACAGACGTCCTTAGCAGAGACTGAGCAGGAGAGCTCACACATACTCAGCTCATCTGCTTTGTGTTTCCTGATGTGTGCTGAGTGCTGTTAGCAGCTAAACAAGTAAAGAGGTGAATGAGAGGAACATCAGCTGTTCTCTGTCCTTCTCTCAGGCACTAAGATTTCACAGTGGGTTCATGGAGCCTCCTAAACTGTGCACTGTAACCATGTAGTGCATCTGTTCATGGGGCTACCGTGCAGTTAACGTGCAGTTAACGTGCAGTTAACGTGCAGTTAACGTGCACTGTCACTTTCATTAGTTTCAGCATCAAAATTCCTCCGAATGTTTTAAAAGTCAATTCAGATATTGCAGCAATTTAAGACTCTGCATGTCAACATGTCAGCGTCTCCACGGACACACGTTACACCTGCTGCGACACCTGTGACTGTTCTCACTCAGTCACTTTATAGTCATTATATGTATACATACATATATCATTATTATTATTAACATAATCATATATTAGTCAATTGTCTTCCAGCGGTCAGAGCAGCGACACTGAAGGAAAACTGCTGTTTCTTCTTCACTCACTGTGTTCACAGACCTCTGCTCAATCATACCTGTTATTAATCTCTGTGTCTCTTCCACAGCAAGTCTTTATCCTGTCTTCCTTCTCTCACCCCAACCAATCACAGCGATGCGACTGAGTGGTCAGTAGACTTGAAAAAAAACAGTATAAATGTCCTCGTACATCAGTCCGTTTAAGTCTCATCTGACCGTTTTTATTTGTCTGCATCGGTGTAGATGAGTGCCTTTGATTCTGACAGAACAAATGTGCGTTCATCTGCGTGACGCTGCAGTCCTCCCGCCTGACTGACGGTGTAACACTGTGTTCTTGCTGTCAGTCTTACGACCACGAAAGTGATTCTTCTTCTTCTACTAATTCATGAGCATCATAGTCATTAAATACGTGCTGCTAACCCCGTTAGCTTTTTATCTTCTGCATAGATCAAAATGCAGACTGTAACCAGCTGAGCGATAAACATCCTGCCATCTGTATCAGACAAAGAGCTTTCCCTTAGATCTATTCCTCATGCTGCATGCCAGCTTCATCACCGGATGATACTGAGTGATATTTCATGTGATCTTTGGGAAGTGAATGGCAACATCAGATATAGCCTTAAATCTCGTTTGTCTCCAACAAATCTTCTGAGTGTCAGTCTGACCTTTGACCCGTGTCTCACAGAGGAAACTGAGTGTGTAGGAGCTGCAACAGAGACTCACGTGAGAACATAGTTGACGCTGACAATGCAGTGAGGTCTGGATGAGCGGCTGTTGTGGACAATGGTTGCATAACTCTGAACCCAGACCCAGCCGCCATGCTTGGCCAAGAAACGGTAGTACTTTGTAGTGACCTGACCTTTGACCAGCACTGAAACACCGAGAAAACAACAGGTCAGAGAAACATCCCAACAAATTACAGCACAGGATACGAACATATTCACATCGTAGCAACAAATTACAGCACAGGGTGGAATCACACCAAGATCATGCTGGAACTACAAAATGTGTTTATTTAGTTTTGTATTGTTTGGTGCTCACATTAGTTTAAATGAACAACCAATGTATTTATGGAATATCTGTTCATTATACGGTAACACTGT